CGATGGGCTGAATTGCACAAAACGCATGATCGCACCGGCTAGTCTGGTGAGCGTTGCCATTTATTTGCTTTTTGGAGGTAAATACAACAATAATTGTGTGCGGTAAATATTTACGCACTTCTCCGCGATACAAAAATATCCCTTATCTATGACTGTTGAAATGGGTGTAGAGCCACGGAACGATAATATCAGAAATTTGTAAAAAATTTGGAATGAAATACTATATTAGCTTTATCGATATTATTAAGGCAGTCTACAGCAGAAGGAAAAGTTAAGTTTGTCATGCGGCGAGATGAGGAACAACAGATGGGCAAAGTTTATTAGGATAAGTTATTTAAAGCTAGTTTGAAAATTCGATTATTTAGCTGTTTCACTATATTTCGCTCTATGCAATTGGGCGAGTGATTAATCGGAAGCCGTTCGAAACTTCCTCACTGAATGGATACAATGAAAGCTTCAAGCATATTTTCCTCACGTTTCCAGCCCTTGCTCGTCATTTCGAAATTTTGGTAAAATACTTTTTCTGATAGTTTGATCAGCGGTTGTCTCATCACACTGTCTTAGCTTGCTTTCTGGAATTTGATGCAGGCTTGTATTTTAATGCAAAAGGTCACTGCTAATCGGTGATGTTTAAAAGTGATTTTATATCGTTCGGTCTGCAGTACTGGATGGGAATTGTCACTCTTACTTCAATTTATTTGGAATTATCATTCTTATTTCAATATTTTTCATGCTGTTTTGTTTTAAAATCATCAGTCTATTAAGTCCTCTTATTTTTAATTGAGAGAATAATTTACTCTGATACTTTGATTAGCCACAGTTCGTATTTTGAAATTCCGGTTATGCAGTTGGCTACTAATCCAATTGCGCGATCGATGCTGCGTTACTTGATTACTTGATAGTCAGCTTGCTCGTGATTCTGACATTCCTTTCAGCTCACGTAAAGGGTTTACCAGTTTGGTGGTTTTCCCAACAGAAGCACATGGCAAGGTATGATGAGGTAGCCTACCGATTAGAAGTGAGGCCAACTAAAAACTCGAGTTTTTGTACAAAATTAGCTCGAGTTTTTTGCTCGCTCCATTTACAGCAGTCAAAATTAGCTTAAATCTAAATTGCGGTAGTAGGATCATGATGGCTGAGGAAATGTCAAGAGAAATAAAATTTTGGTCGAAATCAATTCACTTAGCATTTAACAGCGCAAAAGTACCGTTCCAGGAAAAGGAATACTATGACAACGACTGCTGTAAACGTGGAGTGAATTTCGCCAACTGGTTGATCAAGTACGATGATCCAACAAGGTTACATTTGATTCCTTACTTTTCTCAC